GAAAAGCCCTTGCAGCCCCTCCAGCCCAACCATGACCCTCCCCCTGACCGTTCCCAACTCCCCCAGATCCCTCAGCGCTGGCTCAGCCCGACTCTTCAACCCCTCCAGGGATCCCGGGGACTCCCCCCTGCCCTGGGCAGCCCATTCCAACGCCCAACAGCCCCTTCTGCACAGAAATCCTTCCTCAGAGCCAGCCTGACCCTGCCCTGGGCAGCTTGAGGCCATTCCCTCGGGGCCTGGCGCTGGGGCCTTGGCTCCAGAGACTCATCCCCCCTCTCTGCCCCCTCCTGGCAGAGAGTTGCAGAGGACAATGACGTCTCCCCTCAGCCTCCTCTTCCCCTGGCTACCAATCCCATCTGCTTTGCAGCAAGCACATACAGGGAAAGGCTCCTGGTTGTCCTCTTGCTGTACAATGCCTCAGTGGGGCAGGTGGGATAGCTGGACGCTGCAGGGACAGCCCCAGAGACACTGGTCCTCACAGCAGGCCAATGCACCCGTTGGTGTGCTCAGTGGGGACAGGGATGTCCCCCGCTCACCCCAAGGAGCCCCAGCAGGGTCCACCCAGAACTGGCCCATGGGATCTCCAGAGAATAACCCACCCTCAGAGCAGCTTGTCTGTGCTCTTCCCACTGGGGAGGAGATGCAGGCGACTGCTTCGTGCTCCAACCCCAGGGCTCAGCGGACATTTGCAGCACACCCTGCTCTGGGTTGAGGCCAGACAATGCACCCAGGAAGAGGGGGAAGCACCCAGCTCTGCTGTGGTCCCTAGTCACTGGGCAGGGAGGAGCCAGCACCCCTTTTCAGAGGAAGAACAATCTCCTGCACTGATAACCTGTCAATAAACCATCCCACCATGAACTGGTACCACCCAATCGTCCTCATATGATTTTTGACCTGTTGGGGTGCAGGAGCAGACCCCGAGCCCTCCCCACCTCCCATGGGCTCGCAGATGGCTTACAGAGCAGCTGCACTGCACACACTGGTTTGGTTGGCGGCTGGGAAAGAGCTCACTGGTGGTGAACATCTCGCCTTGCTGGTAGGTTGTCCCGTTGTACTGACAGGACTTGACGGGTGCCCGGAGGCCAGAAGGGGAATGTGGCTCTGGAAAAGAAGATGAGAAAGCAACAGGATGAGAGACGGCCCTTGCCTGGCCCCAAGGTAGCACCGATGCTCAGCAGATCCCCCACCAGCCCAACCCAAAAGGACAAGGAGCCCTTTACACACCACAGTTATCGTGAAGAAGTGGCTGGGGCATTGCACAGCCCGTGGGGATTTAAAGGCCCAAAAGCTTTTGGAGAATGGGGCTGTCCTGACCATGCCAAGCACAGCAGAGGTAAAACCTAGAAGTCTGACCTCCCACAGTCTTGTTCCCCTGCCATGCCAGAGTGGTGGCAAAGCTAGTCAAGATCCCCTGGTGATTTGAAAAATTAGGGGGGAAAGAAATAGTAAAAAAGCCTATCTTTAATTTTTAGCCCTTTTGATCTCACTCCAGCTGATGCTGGAGGTTGTCACATCCAGGGGAGGGGAAAATTGCAGAATTTTTTTTTCCTGTACCCAACACATTTTGCTAGCAAATGATCTGAATAAAGTGTAGCTTCTGGTTTGTCACTGAACTACGAACTGACATTTTGATCCTACAAGACTTTCGGGATAGGGGGCAGTTGGAGAAAAAGGTCTGGTAGAGAGCTCTTTTCCATCAAAATGACATTTTTTGGGGGAAAAAGCAACGCAAGCAGCCCAAGCTGCCATTGGTGCCATGACCTCTTGAGCAGAGCCAGACCCAGCACTGTTGTGCTGCCCCAGGCGTGAGCATCCAAGCCACTGCAGTTGAGGTACATCCCGCAGGACCACAGCCACCTTGTCACCCCCTCCCTGTGGGTTGTCCACCTACCGAGACACCGTGGGCAGCACTGCTGGGGGTCCGTCACGGGGCTGGCACACTGCAGAGCCGGGCACTGGATCCGGTAGCACCTGATGTTGGCGTTCTGGGGAGAGACAAGACGGTTCGTTCAGCCACGTGTTCAAGAGGAGGGAGATGGTGGAGGATGGCCACGTTGTCACGACAGATTGTGCTGGTGTGGCTCACCCAGCCAAGGATGTCTTCATCCCCGGCCCAAACCCAGCCAGCTCATGGTCTCATCTCTCATCATCAAAGATCACTCGTGGCCCTACAGCAGCCCTGAGCCACCTCCACCCACAGCCCACCAACGGTATTGAGACAGCACCCTCGCAAAGTCAACCCAACACCCCCAGGGGGACAGAGGGCTTTTTCAGAAGGAAAGAGATTAATCCAACGTCCCTATAGGACTGGAAAGGATTTTTCTGGTCAAATTAGACACTCGAACTGATCTGTTTAAAAGCTGTCAAGGCAGCAGCATCCCCACCCCCTCCCGCGGCACCTCATGGGGGACGTGCCTCGGAGCAGCTGCAGCGGATGCAGTACATCAGCCCCTGCGGCTCCAGGTAGGGGTGCCAGCTGTCACCCGGGCTGTACTTCTTGCCGTTGAAGTCGCAGAACATATCTGGCCCTGAAAAATCAACCAAGAGAAGTTACGTGAGAGAAAAGGATGGTCCTTGGGAGAACTCTCCTTCCTTCGTGATGAGAAGAGCAAGGACAGCTCTGTGCCTTCATGCTGTTTCCCATGAGTAGTTGATGGACACATGCCATTCACCGAACCCCAGATAGAATACATTTCCCAAAAGCCTTTTTGGGTTTTTTTGTCATGATTTGGGGTTTTTTTAGGCTGGGACCTACCCAACCCAAAAGGCAACTCCTTTGAGCAAGCTGTGTCCTCTTTGCAAGCAAGGAACAGAAGGGGTGTTTCTGAGGCAAAAATTAGAGTTGTCGCTCCAAAATAGGTCAGCAGAAGCGCTCTCTGGAAGATGGAAAGAAGATTCCAGGGTGATGCCAAGGGACTGGATTTTCCCCAGGGAGACCAGAAGGGCTGGGAATGGTGGGGGAGACAGGAGAGCCTGAATTTAGGAGACATTTTCACTGTTACCCACAAAAAGAAGAAAAATAAAAGACATTTTGAGTTAGAAACACTTTCTGAACGAAAACTTTTTTCTCCCTGAAGAGCTTCAGCTCATTCTCTCAAGAATCCCTGGACAAGCACTGTCAGCACATGGGCAGCCAAGCACAAGCCCTAAGGAGCAGGGTTGTGCTGGCTTGGCCCATCCCACCAGGCTCAGCCCCTTGGATTTACTGGGCTCAACGTGGCACCGGTCTGGCTTGAACCATGCTCTTCATTTATGGGGATAGCAAGTCCATCTTGTCCACTTTTTTGGCCTGAGAAGCATAAAATCGTGTATTTTTCTCTTCCGCCTTGATCCTATCATCCTGAGAAGGAGCAAGTTTCCAGCCATGCTCCTGAACTGGAGGTGTCTGTCCCACAAATGAACCAGCCCTGACTACACTGGCATGGGTTTAACCTTGCGGCAGCACACGGAGAGGGATGATATGGTGCCCAGCACGACTGGGATCTCCCCTCTCCCTGGATTTTAGAAGGTTCCTATCAAGTCACTCCATCTCCAAGCCCTTGATTACACACCAACCCTTTGTCAAGATGAGGCCAGCCTGCAGCAGAACCCATGGGTCAAACCATGGCCATATCCCCACCAAAACCCGCAGGGCTTTGGCCAGAAAGCCCAATTCAGCCATTCTTAATGTTCACATCGAAAAGCATCGCCTGGTCCTGCAGAACTGAGGTCTGGCCCCAGCTGGACCTGCAGGAACCTGGACTCTGTAACTCCCACCACAGCCCAGTGGCTGCTCCCCCTCTCCTGTGCTGTGTCCCCAAGCCCTGACCAGCTGGAGGGACGCACCAGGGCTTAAGGTCTTTCATAAATAAGCACACGCCTGCCTGTGTGTGTTATTAGTGGTTTAAGTGCTCATAGCCCCACTAAAAAAACTGAAGGTGATTTAAAAGGTTATGTCATTGAGGGGATTTGAGGTAGTTTGGGCGATTACGTTGCTCGAAGGCAGCGGAGACATTTATGCTCCCTGAAGCATTTATGAGTCTTTTAAAACCTTGCGGTGCCCTGGGGATGCAGGGAGAGGGGAGAGGGCTGTTTAACAAGTCACGGTGACCAGCTCCAGGCGCCCGCCACATGAAGTCAGGCAAGCTAGTGGGTGCTGACCCCATACGCTGCTGGAAGAACTCCTCGACGAACAGCAGAGGGTCCTCAAAACAAACTCAGTGGCATTCACCACTCAAATGAAACTAAAACCCATCCCACGCTCTGCTCTGTCACCTGGGGCAAAGCAGTGGTTTAGAGAGCCTAGCAGGTGTTGTCCAACCTTGCCAAACCTGGAGATGCCACCTGCTTAACGTGTTTCTCTCACCAACCGGCAAAACTCATGCAAATACGCTGTGGTGGGCTGCTGTCCTTCCTCCAGCTCCTGACCATCCTCAGGACGAACCCGAGCGATGCTCTGCCATGGCCAGACCCTGTGGCTATCAGGAAGGGCAGCCCTACGGGTCTGTGATGTTCCTTACGGGTACCTTCCAACTCAAGCCCTACAGGTCTGCCAGCAGCCCTGAGCTCCTCGTTGATAGCTTCGAGCACATGATTCTCCAAGTTGTACCTTCAAAGGAGGTGGCCACCAGCTGTCCAGACCACCTGGCCCAAGCACAGCGGTGCAGGGCCAGTGTTGCATCTGCAGAGGTGGAAATTTGCAATAATTCTGGGGTGGATTCCATCAGAAGGACAGGCAGAGGCACTCTCCTTCCTTTTCCCTATTCAGGTCTTTACAATGTCCCCACAGCTTGCTCCAAAGCTCTTGACAAGTCAGCAAACCCATATTCCTGGCCATGCACAACAGAAGCTTACAGCAAACCACGCAAGAATGGGGAGCATGTGGCTAGAAACTGCAGAAACCCAGAAGAGAGGGAAAAAAAAATAAATCCACAACACTAACAAAAAAAAAATCATCATTCTGCAAAAAGGGTGAGAAAATGACTTCATTTTTCCCTGCTTGCAGCATCTTCATGAATTACGCTGAGGGTGAAGAAATCAAGTTGCCTTCATGTGACGCGGGGCCGCTCAGCTTGCAGGCTCCCATGCCAGTTGGCTGCTTTGTTCAAACATTTAATCACAAGTGGAGCCCTGGTTTGGGTCCAGCCCTCGAAAGCAGCCTGATTCATGTCTGCAAAGGGCCCGCTGGTAAAATTAAAGCCGACTGGCAGCGCTGGGCAGGAGCAGACACTTGTCCGCATCTCAGTAGCACTATGCCGCGTATTTGGCAAGAGGTGCCGGCATGTTTGGTTAAAAGCAAGCTGGGGATGGATGGAAGGAGGAGGCTTAAAAGCTGGAGGCTCTGGATCATTTTTTCCCATGCCAGGCTAATAATTTAATTTTCAGAGGTCAAACTTTGGATATCTTCCCAATTCACTTGGAGTGAAAAGCCATTTGTGGCAGTAAATTTCTCCCATGCCGTTCAGTCTCCTTATTTATTGCGTCTTCACCAACAGTACGCTCACAAACGTCATGTTGTTTCACTTCTCGTTTTCCAGAGAGGGCTCCTGAGCTGCGGAGCATTTTCAAGGCTGAAAAAGAAATCCAGATGAAGCCATCACCTTGGTTTCCTTCCCGAGGACCATGCCATCCCTGGGCAGGAGAAGACAGCGGGCCAGCCTGGTCCACACCAACCTGGAGACACAACCAGAGCTTGCTGATTGTGAGTCAGAGGCTCCACGCTTGGAGGTGGCCCTAGGGGACCTGAAAGCAGGAGCAGAGGCGGAAAGTGTTCCCCATATGAAACACCTCCAAGAACAGGTCCCATCTAACTAGTTTCTTCTCAAATACAAGAAGCCCCCGATATAAGATCCTGCTCTTCAGAGCACCATTATGGGTTGTATGAACCAGAAAAGCCGACTGAAAGCCATGGGAAGGATTCCCCTGCCACTCAGCAGCAAGTCCTGTGGCCTCATGTCCAGAGGGAGGGTGGGAGATGCTGCCGAGAGCAGCCCCTGCACGTGGGAGCTGCTCTGCCTTGCCCACCCCAAAGGGCTCTGCTGGGGACATCATGGAGGAGGAAAGTTTCTCCCTGTCTCCCCAACCAACAACCATTTTCTGCCATGACTCCAGCATTTTCTTGGGTGAGGACCACCTGGTTACATCCAAATCACTGAATACTCCAGGCCAGGGTCTGGGATCAGTGACCTGGCCCTGCTTATGTCCATGCCCACCCCTGGAACAACCTTGATCCAGCTGTCCCCCGGCATTTGGCAAAGCCCAAGTTGGCACAAGCCAACACCATGTTGGAGAGTGCACCCGCAGCAGGAGTCTGGACACTCCTGGTCAATGTTGAGGCTAGGCTCAGGCCCTGTCTTACTTTGATTATCATTAATTGTCATTAATTATTAATGGCATCACGGATGGATGGGTGGATGGATGGATGGATGGATGGATGGATGGATGATGGATGGATGGATGGATGGATGGATGGATGGATGGATGGATGGATGGATGATGGATGGATAGATGGATGGATGGATGGATGTGTGGATGGATGGATATACAGGATGGAAAGTACAATAGGAAGTCAAGGAATGAGAAAGCTGTTACCAAGAAAAGAGTGATCTCTGGCCATGGCAGGGACAAGAAGAAGCAATTACTTTGGGTCAAAGCCTGGAAAATTTAGGATAGGTATTGCAGGAAGCTTTCCAGCTACCAGGAGATCAAAACCCCAGAAGAGGCTATTATGGAGGTTCTGAGACACTGTATGAACCTGCTGGAACAGCATCTTCACAAGATGGTCTAGAGACACCAATCCAAACTGAATGGCATGGAGAAATCTATCTTGTGCTGCATTCAGTGACTGCTGACATCTCTCCCACACCATGAGAATGGCCCCAACACCTCTTTAGGATGTATCTCAACAGCTTCATACGCCAGTCACCATCGAGATGCCATCTCACGTCTTCATGATCTGCTCTAGAGCCAGTGAGAAACCACAAAATGAGGGGAAATGAGCAAGATGCCACAGCCTCCTTGTTGAACCATCAAACTGGCCAACATTGGTCAGACCACCTCCAGACATCTCCTGGACTTGGATGCAAAGTCCCCTCAGGCCAACATGTCCATGAGACCTGTCCCTTAAAGCTCTCCCACCCACGGGCACAGCCCATTTGAGCCAATTCCTTGCACCCCTCCACATTTGCAGTGGACAAAGATGTCCCCATGGATTTCCCAACGTGGTGTGACTTGTCCCACTGCCTGGGGGCTTTGACCATGGCTGAACCAGGGGCCACAACAGGTCAGATGGTCTCCTGCACTGATCCCAAGCATGGCAGCAGGAACCAAGGTGAGCTATTAAACTTGCACACGTGATGGCTACAGAAACACCATGTTCTGCTGCCAAATCCTCCTTTCCTCAGGCCAAATATCCCTCTGGATACAGGGACTGATGCTCAACAAAGTTAAATCACACACACACGTGCAAGACCCTGCCCCTACATTCCCCACTCCCACATCAGGGTTTCCCAGATCTGAGGGATGGGTCATGGTTGGTCTTAAGCTGCTTTGACATCACTGCTCCACCAGCCCCGAGGAATGGCTCCCACTAAGACACCCACTGCCCAGCTGGGTCTCCACACGGGAGGGATCACCAGACATCATTCCTGACTGACATTGGAGCTCCTCTATGTTACAGGACACCGAGGAGTCCCCAGAGGCGAGTCCCTGCTGCAGGTAAAGCCTTGACCCATGGTTAAGGGGGCTAATGCACCTGCAAGACCCCAAAGCATGGAAAACGAAGGTAACGACGTCTTCCAATTTACTCATCCACCACAGAAAGCCCCCACCAGCCCCACGCCTCAGTTTCCCTAGCAGGGACTTTCACTCCACGTACCAAACTGGCTCCAGCAAGGATGATACCGAAACATCCCACAGATCCCACCCTGCTTCTCCCCAGTTTCATCCCGTGGAGTGAGGGGTTTCCTCCATCTCTGCATCCCCAAGCGGTCCCCCCGCAGCTCTTCCCTGAGCAGGGCACGTCTGAGCCGGGCTCCTGGCCCCGACGGCTTTTTCGGAGGTCACGCACCTGACAGCCAGCACCGCGCCAGGCATGCAGGGGTGTGTTTATGCAAACCAGTTTGTGAGTTTTAAGAGAGGTCATAAATAAAGTGTAAAAAGCACTGTCTGGTACAGAAAGTCCAGGCGCTCCTATGACAGCCCTGTATTTATGAAGGGCTTAAAATGCAACTTAGCTGTGAAGGGACTGGTTAAAACACACCGGGCCCTTGACATGTGGCATCCTAACGACTCTGCTCACGTCCAGATCGCTTCCTAGATGCTCGCCTCGCTCAGTCCTGGGCTGGGAATTTCTTCTTGGGATTTTGGGAGCTTGGAAAACTCTGTAACTCTGCAAATGCAGCCTCATGAAGCAGCCCCGAGCTCCCTGGAGTGGAGGAGCTAAGCAAAGTCCCACACCCGGAGCATCCCCATGGGCTCTGCAAGCGGCAGACAGGGCCCCATTTCCCTCCTCTGCTTCCCAAGGGGATGCTCAGTTGTCTAAAGCGGGGTGTGCAGCCCTCGCCTCTCCCTTACCGTGGCCACCAGTAGGATTTGCTTTTCATCTCAGTCCTTCCCACCTTGGACCACTCAGTCTGTCAATCAGGCTGGATCCAAACTCCTAGGACAGATGGATCCCACAAACTCCCTTTTCTCCAGGAACCACATTAAAAAGAAATTAAATGGCAACTTCCAAGCTCCTGGGGAAAACCACTGCCCTGCACTCTCCAGAGATGCTGGTTTTTAAATGCCTCCAGCCAAAATATCATTGCATTCAACTATTGCTGCTGAATTACTCATAGCGGCCAGGCTGCAGCACATTCGGCCCAGTAACCTGTGCCTCTGATATTTTTTCAGCTGAGAGTGTAAATCCCCTAAAATAGCCTGTTTCTGTGGGCAAATTCTTCTTTTCTGACTTGCCTTCAAGCCTGAGCGTTTCTGCTTCTCACCTATTTTTAGCCACGACACTGTAGGTCTCTTGGCTGATGAGCCCGCTTGTAACTAATTTATTCCTGTCTTCATTCTCCCTGAGCGCTCAGCCCCGAACAAAATGTGAGGCAGCGAGCTGCAGAGGTGGATGGTGGAGAAAAGTCCACGATTTGATGAGGATCTTGTCACTGAGACCACCCCTGCCCTCAACCACAGGGCACCGGGAGCCCCAGCCAAGCCCCCCACACCGTGGGATGTGCCCCACAACAGAGCCAAAGTGATGTGGAGCTGGGGGTGATCCCGGACCTCCCAGCTCCAATCCTGCCCCGGTTCCACAGTCTCCAGCTCTTTATCACCATTATAAATCGCACAAATGGACCCCAGCGCATCCTCCCAGAGCAGACAAACCCCTAGTACCCCCATTCACCAGGCTTTATGCCCAATTTAGGGGTTCTGCTACCATCAGCAGGTGCCTCTGAAGAGCAAACACCTCACCTAGCATGTGTTCCACCCTCTGAGGAGGTCTCCATCCTCCTCCTCACCTGGGTACCACGGTTAACGCAGCCCTGGCAGAGGCAGGGAGTCAGACCCACAACCCTCATGCAAGAAACGGCCGCTGTGGTCTGAGCTCGGCGGCTTTCGATGAGCCCAGGGAAGGGAAAGTAGCCAAACTCACCCGAATTTCGCTCCCCGGCACAGCCCCATCCATCCATCCATCCGCCTGCCTTTCTGCCCCACTGCCGGGACAAGAAACCCAGTGCTCACATTTTGGGTCGGCGCTCCAGGAGGACGATTATTTGGCGAATGCCTAATGCGCTGCTGGCAGCAGGCAAGTCATAAATCACCCTAACGCAGCCACCGACAGGCTCCGCCGGGATTTGGGGAGATTAAAGGGGAGAATAAAATGTAAGGACACGACGGGTCCTGCTCTGGTTTGCTCGGTGCTCAGGTGACTCTGCGATGCTTTAGGGGTGCCCAGCACCCACTGGGGGG